AGATGTCTAAGGACTTACCTGTCTGTCAAATGCCTGTTTCTGAAGGTCTATCTGCTTGTCATGGAAGTCATGAACTGGGGAAAAACAAACACACAAAACCCATTCATATCCCTAATAATAATTATTATTCTTGCCGTTTGTTTGTTGTTGTTTTTTTTGTACTAGTAGGAGTTTTACGGCACTTGCAACGCAGTGAAGTCAAATAAGTGCCGAAGATTAGATTCAGCTGTTTAGTTTTAGTAAGAGTTTTACAGCACTTGTAACACAACCAGGTTATATACATATAAGTGCCGAAGGTTTTACAAGAGAGTAACTTACACAAAAAAGAAAGAATTTTTAGTTTTAGTACAGGTTTTACAGCGCTCACAACTACATACGGTCATATGAGCGCCAGAAAATTAGAGGTGTTACAAGAGAGTAACAAACATAAAAAAGAAGAAGGGGAGATAAGGACGATAGATGTTTCATAGGAATGAAGAAACAAACCACACCATGGCACCCGCCAACCACGAACATACTTTTTGTTTAAATAATAATCACATGAGCCTGAGTACAGAAGAACTGGTCTATTAGCAAACATGAATGAGCCACGGCAACATGGGGTGAGGGTGGCTGGGCTGAGCGTTATCGTAAAATCCTTCTTAGTGACTGCGACTTTTACGTCGTTATCAAAAGTGAGCAGAAAAAAACAAGAATAATATATCGCTACCAAAGAACTACAAAAATTAAACCTGTCAGTTTTAGCAAAATTTGATTTACTAAGACCATGAGGCCAGAAACCAAAAGTTGTATCTGCTCTATCAAAACCGTAAGATTATTCGGAGTCGTTATCAGGATATTCAAGGAATTGCATTCGAAAAGCTTGACATGTTGTGAATCTCTTAATCTTTAACGTCGAATTTTGCAAAACTAGTTACTAAAAAGATAGAACTTTGTAATTCTGAGGTAGCGATATGGCATTAGCAGACCAATTAACCCTATCCGCACGTCGTGTTTTACTACCGTATCCATCCGATGAGGGGAACCCTGTGCCACCACTTCCAAAGATGAAATTTACTCTTTAATCCGATCCGTATGCTTTGCATAGCAGTCAGTGAAAATGATTTTTTGAGAAATACTGAAAGTTTCAAAGAGATCTTCGTACTAGAAGTATTCTAAAATGTGAAGAATACAACCCCGGGGGTACAAAATAACCCCAGGGCGTATGGATAGAATAAAGGTTGGGTGGTTAGGAGGGC